CTCTTATATCGTATTCCAACTGCCGTCCTGCATTACTGTGCTTTCTCGGCTAATGCAGGAATCGAACACCCAAGCTCCAGGCTAGCGAGCCAGCGCCCTACCCACTTAGCCACCATGATCCTCGACAATGATAACGATGGGAGTAACCTCGCCATGGCCTTGTATAGTAATACATTCAGCAAATACATTCACGAGGTTTTGAAACCACGCCATGTGACTCAATGACAGGCCATATGATACAGCGCGCACGTGCTAACCATTCGACCACCCCCTCCCCCTGTATTTACAACAGCTTTAGCTTCTATATTGTTGTATCTATGAGTTTGGGGTGATAAATTGGCCTCTTATATGTTGTGTTAAATGTCAAATATTCCGCAACCACACCAAATGGGGCCAAGCTTATAGCGAATAAACATTTAAGATCTCCTCCAAAATTAGTTTAGTATTTTGGCATGTTTGGAGGTATTTATGTAGAATTGGTCAAAACAAGATTTCCACAAGATATTGGATACAAAAAAAAATTGAAATTTTCAAAATATTTTAGTATGTGTGATTATACACTCCACAAGTGATTAACTGTATTTCTGTATTTCTGTATTTACATACATCTGACGACCTGAATTGTGTCATTAACACTGTTTCACTGGTCGACACCCTATTACACTATTTTCTTACTTTGTATTTAATGACTCTGAATTTATATTTTATGACTCCGAATTTGTATGTAGTGACTCTGAATTTGAATGCTCTTAAAGGTCCATTTTACTGGGTGTGATATCTGTCGCAAAGACTGGGGTCACACTTAATTGATTATCAACTATTTGAATGAAGTGTTTTATCCTGAAGCCGAACGCCTCCGAAATTTTGCTCGCCACCAGAGCAAATTTGTTAGGACAATTTTAATTAGTCAATCAGAGTGCGAGGTCCAAAGTCGTGTATGATCAAACTGTCAATGCGTCAAATTTCATCTGCGAATTTCCACGCGTACTGCCACTTTCAGTACGAACGATGATTCGCGCGGAAAGTCGCAGTGGTCGCGTTTGTGCTCAGTATAAATGCGCCTTTAGGGTCAATGGTACTTTGATAGGTTCGCACTATCACGATTCGTGCTACGATTGAAATTGTGGTTTTAATCGTGGAGTAATCGTGGCGATCCTTTCAGGTCTTATCATATATTGAGGTCGGTCGTAGCAATCGTGGTGACCCTATAGAAACGTATCCGAACGTATCTGCACGTATTGTAACCAGGGGCGGATTGGGGCCGGAACCCGTGTCGGAGCGGCCCTTTTTACTGACCACGGAGCCTGTACGGGGGGTCCGGGAGGCTCTCCCCCGGGGTGAATCCGATGAAATTTTGGGATGAAATTCGGAATCCCCATTGCAGGATTCCGAATTCCGGCCCACACCCAGCACACCCGGCCCAGAAAGTCTATTATACCAGTCCATTCCAGACTCCAGTGATGGCGTGGCGGCCCGTTAAAGCTACCGGCCACATACAACATGATCATCATCGCTCCATGGCCGTTTCAATACCCCCCCTCCCCAATATAATGTTCAGCAGAAAAGTTTTTTTTAGACGAATTGGACAAAATCCGCCCCTGATTATAACACAATCGGTATGGAATACAGACCCAAATTTCGTTTTTATTAAATTTCCAACGGTTGCCACCCTATATACCTCTGACACTTGTGAATTTTGAATAAATGACGTAAAAATTTTCTGCACTGCTTACATATTCTTACCAAACAGACTATTTCATTGGCTAATCTATTACACTAAATACAGCCCGATTTATTTATTTCCAAATCCTACTGTTGAGAAGAATTATAAAACAAACTTTGACTTACAGAGAGCAAAGCGAATAGGATCTGTGTTTAATCAAGTTTTGTAAATATTAGAACGGAAGCGCAACGAATGAGTTACAGTCCAATCTCAAGATTGGATGTCGAATTCAGCATGAATACCTGTATAAGACGTTTTATCCACAGTAATGGATTTTCCATGTGCGCTAGGTGTAGGAAGGAGGACCTGGCAAATGGAAACGTATAGTCGTTCGGGTGGGATGAAAACCCCAAGTTCCATGTACACATTGGTATACACGTAAAAGAACAATTGACAGTTGGAATTCGAAATAAGACCAGGCCCCGAGTTCACAAAGCATTCTCAGACTTAAGTTGAGAATTTGCTCAACTTTCAATCACTGTTTATGATAAAGATCTTTGATGCAGAAACACAAAACTTTGCACATAGTTTCATATCGATGTATTTGATACCTTAAAACAACAAAAGTTTTAGAAAGGGCTATATTTTAGTTAAAATAAGGTGAACAAGTTTGAGTAAATTCTCAACTTAAGTCTGAGAATGCTTTGTGAACTCGGGGCCAGGTCATATATAGCGCCGCTGTCAGGGCAAAATTTCCCCACATAATACCCCGTATGGCGTATGCCAACCTTCATTAAACTGATTGGTGCAGGGGGTTGGATGGCTGAATGGTTAGCGTTCGCGCGCTGTATCATAAAGTCTGTCATTGAGTCGACTGGCGTGGTTTCGAATCCCCGGTTGTACGTGGCAAGGAGTAGGGTCGCCTGTCCAACCTCGTGGGTTTTCACCGGGTCCTCTGGTTTCCTCCCACTGCTAAAGACCCCTACGCGCAAGCGAATTATGTAAATAAAATTAAACCAAATGTTAGTCCCGAAATGACCTAGTTTGTGTCGAGTGGACGTTAAACCCCATTTCTCTCTCTCTCTGGGGGATCACGTGGCTAAGTGGGTAAGACGCTAGCTCGCTAGCCTGGAGGTCGGGTGTTCGATTCCTGCATTGGCCGAGAAAGTTCATCCAGATTTTCCGTCGTGGTTCTCCCTTGTCAGTGATGCAGGACGGAGGGGCTGACAAGGAAAGCTGTCTAGTCGTTCGGATGGGACGAAAAACTGAGGTCCCGTGTACACATTGGCGTGCACGTAAAAGATCCCTTGGCAGTTGGAATTCGATATAAGAGTAGGCCGTAGTGCCGCTGCCCGGGCAAAATTTCCCTCATAGCACACTGTATGGCGTATGCCCGTCTTCATTAGCCCAGTTTAGGAGCAGAACAGTAGGACGTTAAACCCCATTTCATTTCATTTCATTTCATTTCTCTCTCTCTGATTGGTGCAAACATATAGGACGTTAAACCCCATTTCATTTCATTTCATGCGCGCTATATATCGAAAAGGGGTTAACTTAACTTAAAGGAGAAACATTTACATGCATTTCTCAAAAAGTCAAAAATATCCAAATATAAAACAGACCGTCATTATCATTATGGTATTTTATTTATCTAAGACATATAAAGAGGGTGGTGTGTAAAACATTGATCAACGATGTAACCATTAATCAACGATGTACCCATTAATAAACGATGTACTCATAGATCAACGATGTACCCATTAATCAACGGTGTAACCATTGATCAACGATGTACCCATTGATCAACGATGTACTCATAGATCAACAATGAAACCATTTATCAACGATGTAACCATTGATCAACGATATACCCATATACGATTTAAAAGTGTTGGTGCTTCATTATTATTAACCGGTTAACCTGCCTGCCCCGGGCTGAAAGGTTTCAGTATAACAGTCAGGAATTCCTGTGTTCTCTCCTCCAGTACATCAAATTTTAGGCTGTTCCCCCAAAGACATTCTCCATAAAGGAGCCGTTATATACCCGAATCCGCAGCCCATTCAAAAATGTTATTTTAATCTGTATCTAAGTGTTTAACGTGTCATTTCGTTACTTTGGCAAGAAGACAGCTAGTCATCTCGAGATTTATTGTATGTAGCAATGAACTCCAACCAATCCAACATAAATTAAACCATTATTTCTAGAACATACAACCAGCTTTGAAAAAGAACAATGACTTATGCAAGGGGTTTTGAAATAGAACAATGACGTATGCAAAAGCGAAATTGTTCGATTATTTCGCTGTTTCCGGGACTTCATCACTTATCATAATTGGGAGAGTCGTCTGTGGTGATTATATAAATCTGGGCCTAAATTATTTTGCTGTCTTTTTTTCCGGGACTTTATGACTGGTAGACATTGGTAGTATCATGTCTACCTAGATCTCGGCCCAAAAAATCTTACCGGGGATGCGAAATGATTTCGGAAAGTCCTTGTCTTGTTTGGCAATGTATAATGCACACAGAAGTTATAACAGTATGATTGACCCCAAATGAACCACGCACCGTGCTTTTTTGGTTCTTTTAAAGAATTAATTCACTTCAAGATGGACGTCTAGGCTATTCTATTCCCCACAATAACAGACAAAGACTTACAGCATACGAGGGAGAAACTAGTGTAGCCAACCTTTATTTCATATTTTATATCATTGATGTCTCGGATTGCAAAGGGTACCCGCTGATACAAGTGGGGGTAAATATACAAATTAAATAAAAATGTGAAGAAATAGCCCAAATAGCTTGTCGGCTCACAATATTGCAACTTTCGGAAGTGATCGTGTGCTTTGTTTAATAGGTTATGTAACTTAGCCACAGTGGCTAAGTGAGCAAGACGGTGGCTTGCTAGCCTAGAGGGCGTGAGTTCGATACTGTGTTGGTCGAGAAAGTTCATCGGGATTTTCCTGTGTGGTTTCCCTTTGGATTTCGATATAAGAGTAGGCAGTAGCGCCGCTCTCCGGGCAAAATTTCCCCTATAGCACACTGCATGGTGTAAGCCCATCTTCATTATCCCAGTCAAAGCAGACCAGTAGGACGTTAAACCCCATTTCATTTTCATTTAAGGAATTTCAATGTTCATTTATATGACCGACTTGGTAATCGTGAGAAACACTGCATCAATGTGTGGAAACATATAGACATGATTATCAAGTAAAAATGGAAAGTGCAGTGCTTTAGATAGATATACATGACTGGTGTAAAGGTATCCTTTCATCATTAAAACGTTAAGATGAATAATCTAATATGCTAATATGCACACGGAAAGGAATAAAACTCAAGGTTATATTTAAAAAATTTTTTTATTAACAACAATCATAAATGATAAGATGGCTAATCAACATATTTGAGTAAATAAAAATATTTAGTATTTTATACTTATTAATCTCTGCCCCAAAAATTTGAGCACAATATGAGGCTGAAAAATGTTTTTATACGGATCTGATCTTTTCTATTTACTAATTTGTATATTATGTCCAGGTATTGTTTTACACTATTGATATTTCCTTGTGATATAAAGATGTTTTTAATATACTGGTATTATTCAAAGTCGCAACCAAAACATTATAAATCTGAACATGTGTTAACCACTTCATCTAGTAATGCAACCGGTGCACCGTTCACACATCAGAAACAATCAAAAGCTAACATTGTTTTCTTCACATCAAATATTTTTTCCAAAGATTGTCATGGGATTCGGGAAATTCAATTTCTGTATCTTTTACTGCACAGGGCCTCGATAAAAGCATTTGCTTGTCGTCTGGCACCAGCTCCAGCACCAGCCAAACTAAACCCAAGGAGACGTGTGTCAGCATTTCCTGCATCAGCAAAGTAAACCTCGACCCCGGCTTCACGGGCCGCCTGTGCGCTTCTAATTACAGCCATATCGTCAATTTTTTCACCCCCAATGAAGACAACGGCAACTTTTCTGGCACCAGGACGTCCACCTTTATCAACGGAGTAAGCTGTAGTCAGGGATTCTATTAACGTTGTAAGTTTTGGATTATCATAAAAGACAAGCCTTTGCATAAACGCGGATATGGTTGAGTATTGACTGAGGTGGAATCCAGAACCTGATGGACAGGATCCAGTAATAATACCAAATCTCATGTGGAGGAATTCCTGGACACCGACCGTGTGAGTGATGAATTGAGTGACCCAGGCAGTCCTTGAAATGCCAAGATAAGCAGGCTCAAAAACGAAGTAAATATCAGTGGGCTTGTCAATACCACATTCTGCAAGAAGAAAAGAAGAAAAAATAAGAAGTTGAATGACAGAACAGTTGATTTAGCGGCATTAAAAACATCCACTTGACATTCACACAACACATTAGGTCAGTGAGAGATTACTACAATTTATATATTTATTTTAAGAACTCGTATGTTCGCAACGATCTCTAGGGCTTGGAACAACCAGGAGAACGAACATCAGCTGACGAACCCACTGCTTGGCGTGCACGAACGTAATGGTCATGCCACACTATTGCTTGAGAGAAACGTATGAGTTGTGTATTAAAATTAATAAAATAATTTTCATACGCAAAATGCCCTTGAAAATACAGATTTGTTCGTATGCTTAACGTATTGAAATTATGCGTATCGTATCAGTAGCGTAAATAATTCTGCCTCGCCTGACCGTTCTTGAAAGTGATATTTTTTCAAACGCCGGCATACGCTAGTAGGATACGCAATATTGTGACCCCAACACAGAGCTAGTGAGAATCGGCACTTGCGTCCAAATAGAGCTCAGCCATCGATTTATACAAATTTAAGAATTCAGAGAATTAGCTATCGTGAATAATACATACCTTCAGCAGCAGGTGGTGGTGTGGTTGGGACTTCTGAAAGATACAAAAGGAATTTTTTTTACAGAATATTGACGTATGAGATCGGATTCCAATGGGACTTCGACTTCATTATGGACAATAACCGAGAGAACGTGGTCGTCGCCTGTCTATAATTAGCCCTTAATCGCTTTGAGATTTTCGAAGGTTGGATCTGACTCGTCAGTAGTAACGATTTTCTACCCGCATTGCAAGTGTGTTCCTTTCCTAGAATATTTCGTTTAGAGATTTCTGCTTGATATACATGAATTAATTATCATTGTGTTATTAGGGAAACATTCAAGAACATTTCATTTTATTGTTTACTCACACCAAACATTTCTTCCAAAGTTTGTTTCCCGAATTAAGATAATTTATATCAAATACACTTACTGCACAAGGCCTCGATAAAAGCATTAGCTTGTCGTCTGGCACCAGCTCCAACACCAGTCAAACGGAAACCATCTTCTTCGAGGGCGGCACGAAGTCGCGGGTCAGCATTTCCGGCATCAGCAAAGTAAACATCAACACCAGCTTCACGAGCTGCCTGGGCGTTTCTAATTACCGCCATGTGATCAATTTTCTCACCCCCAATAAAGACAACAGCAACTTTTCTGGCACCAGGACGCCCACCCTCATCAACGGAGTAGGCAGTGGTCAAGGATCCTACTAATTTTGGTAGTTGTTGTTGGTCATAGAAGTGAAGTCTTTCTGTAATTGCTGATAGGGTTGAGTATTGGTTGAGGTCGAATCCAGCATCCAATGGACATGATCCACTAATGATACCAAATCTCATGTGGCGGAATTCCTGGACACTGAGCGTGTGACTGATGAATTGAGTGACCCAGGAAGTTCTTTCAATGCCAAGATAAGCAGGATCGAAGACATAATAAATATCTGTGGGACTACCATTTCCACATTCTGTAAGTATACCATGCCAATATTATTTTTAGGTATTTAAAACTATTCATTTAGACAAAGGTAGATACTAATTTGTTTAGACCGCGCTCTTCCCAAACAAAGCTGAATATAAAATCAAAATTTCTCAAAACCGCTAGGCATGCCCCACCTGCATTAATAAAAAAGTGATGAAAAGAAAGTCTATTATACCAGTCCATTCCAGACTCCAGTGATGGCGTGGCGGCCCGTTAAAGCCACCGGCCACATACAACATGATCATCATCGCTCCATGGCCGTTCCAATTCCCCCCCCCCCCATATAATGTTCAGCAGAAAAGGTTTTTTTAGACGAATTGGACAAAATCCGCCCCTGATTGCAACACAATCTGGTTGGAATACAGACCCAAATTTCGTTTTTATTAAATTTCCAACGGTTGCCACCCTATATACCTCTGACACTTGTGAATTTTCAATAAATGACGTAAAAAATTTTCTGCACTGCTTACATATTCTTACCACACAGATTATTTCATTGGCTAATCTCTTACATTAAATACAGCCCGATTTATTTATTTCCAAATCCTACTGTTGAGAAGAATTATAAAACAAACTTTGACTTATAGAAAGCAAAGCGAATAGGATCTGTGTTTAATCAAGTTTTGTAAATATTAGAACGGAAGCGCAAGGAATGAGTTACAGTCCAACAGTTACTTGTGTAATCTCAAGATTGGATGTCGAATTCAGCATGAATACCTGTATAAGACGTTTTATCCACAGTAATTGATTTTCCATGTGCGCTAGGTGTAGGAAGGAGGACCTGGCAAATGGAAACGTATAGTCGTTCGGATGGGATGAAAACCCCAAGTTCCATGTACACATTGGTATACACGTAAAAGAACCCTTGACAGTTGGAATTCGAAATAAGACCAGGTCATATATAGCGCCGCTGTCAGGGCAAAATTTCCCCACATAATACCCCGTATGGCGTATGCCAACCTTCATTAAACTGATTGGTGCAGGGGGGTTGGATGGCTGAATGGTTAGCGTGCGCGCTGTATCATAAAGACTGTCATTGAGTCGACTGGCGTGGTTTCGAATCCCCGGTTGCACGTGGCAAGGAGTAGGGTCGCCTCGTGGGTTTTCTCCGGGTCCTCCGGTTTCCTCCCACTGCTAAAGACCCCTACGCGCAAACGAATTATGTAAATAAAATTAAACCAAATGTTAGTCCCGAAATGACCTAGTTTGTGTCGAGTGTACGTTAAACCCCATTTCTCTCTCTCTCTGATTGGTGCAAACATATAGGACGTTAAACCCCATTTCATTTCATTTCATGCGCGCTATATATCGAAAAGGAGTTAACTTAACTTAAAGGAGAAACATTTACATGCATTTCTCAAAAAGTCAAAAATATCCAAATATAAAACAGACCGTCATTATCATTATGGTATTTTATTTATCTAAGACATATAAAGAGGGTGGTGTGTAAAACATTGATCAACGATGTACCCATTAATAAACGATGTACCCATTAATAAACGATGTACTCATAGATCAACGATGTACCCATTAATCAACGGTGTAACCATTGATCAACGATGTACCCATTGATCAACGATGTACTCATAAATCAACGATGTACGCGTTGATCAACGATGTACCACCCATTGATCAACGATGAAACCATTATCAACGATGTAACCATTGATCAACGATATACCCATATACGATTTAAAAGTGTTGGTGCTTCATTATTATTAACCGGTTAACCTGCCTACCCCGGGCTGAAAGGTTTCAGTATAACAGTCAGGAATTCCTGTGTTCTCTCCTTAATAAAATAATTTTCGTACGCAAAATGCCCTTGAAAATACAGATTTGTTCGTATGCTTAACGTATTGAAATTATGCGTAGCTTATCATTAGCGTAAATAATTCTGCCTCGCCTGACCGTTCTTGAAAGTGATATTTTTTCAAACACCGGCATACGCTAGTAGGATACGCAATATTGTGACCCCAACCCAGAGCTAGTGAGAATCGGCACTTCCAAATAGAGCTCAGCCATCGATTTATACAAATTTAAGAATTCTGAGAATTAGCCATCGTGAATAATACATACCTTCAGCAGCAGGTGGTGGTGTGGTTGGTACTTCTGAAAGATACAAAAGGAATTTTTTTTACAGAATATTGACGTATGAGATCGGATTCCAATGGGACTTCATTATGGATAATAACCGAGAGAACGTGGTCGTCGCCTGTCTATAATTAGCCCTTAACCGCCTTGAGATTTTCGAAGGTTGGATCTGACTCGGCAGTAGTAACGATTTTCTACCCGCATTGCAAGTGTGTTCCTTTCCTAGAATATTTCGTTTATAGATTTCTGTTTGATATACATGAATCAATTATCATTGCGTTATTAGGGAAACATTCAAGAATATTTCATTTTATTGTTTACTCACACCAAACATTTCTTCCAAAGTTTGTTTCCCGAATAAAGATAATTTATATCAAATACACTTACTGCACAAGGCCTCGATAAAAGCATTAGCTTGTCGTTTGGCACCAGCTCCAACACCAGTCAAACGGAAACCATCTTCTTCGAGGGCGGCACGAAGTCGCGGGTCAGCATTTCCGGCATCAGCAAAGTAAACATCAACACCAGCTTCACGAGCTGCCTGGGCGTTTCTAATTACCGCCATGTGATCAATGTTCTCACCCCCAATAAAGACAACAGCAACTTTTCTGGCACCAGGACGCCCACCCTCATCAACGGAGTAGGCAGTGGTCAAGGATCCTACTAATTTTGGTAGTTGTTGTTGGTTATAGAAGTGAAGTCTTTCTGTAATTGCTGATAGGGTTGAGTATTGGTTGAGGTCGAATCCAGCATCCAATGGACATGATCCACTAATGATACCAATTCTCATGTGGCGGAATTCCTGGACACTGAGCGTGTGACTGATGAATTGAGTGACCCAGGAAGTTCTTTCAATGCCAAGATAAGCAGGATCGAAGACATAATAAATATCTGTGGGACTACCATTTCCACATTCTGTAAGTATACCATGCCAATATTATTTTTAGGTATTTAAAACTGTTCATTTAGACAAAGGTAGATACTAATGGTGCCATCTCAAACTAGAAATTCGTTCTTGGAGAGTTTTACTGTTGCCAAAATCATTGAAATGCATGACATCTTGAGTGTACACTATATCGGCATAGGTTTCAAGTGCAAATCGAACTTTGTCTGAACCAATTTCATATGGACTAATGAATCCATTTAGAAAGGCTTTCACTGTTGCGAAGTTCTGGGCCCAGAAACTAGACGAGGCATCAAGGACGAAAGCGATGTCCAACGGATGCTGAAAACAAGCTGAAAAAAGGAGAATAAGAAGTTTTCACGGATCATTGAAATTAGCCATACAAATATTTTAGAATAACATTCTACACTGTTATAACTACATGGCTAGTCAGCCATAAGTTAAGATGACCTGCAAAGCTATTCACAAGAGAGTATAATGCGATGTTTAGTACAACTTAACAGAATGCGTAACAATGTTTTAATCATCCTCGGTTACCCAGTGTACTCATTCCGTTCTACTCCACTATACCCTGGGTTAATCTATGGGGGAGACACGTTTTCAAGTTATCGGCCCTTGATGATTGTGCTATTTTTATCGACAAATCCCATAAATTGTTATTTGAAAAGGAAGTTGGCAAAGGGAAGTAACTCTCATCGGACATTGTTAGGAGTTAGCCTATTCTAAATGCGTAATTATTAACAACCAATTATATATTATGTTAATGAAGACCAGACGTTCATATAATAATGTAGGGTCATTAGTTTTATTGAGAATCGTTCGTTCGTTCGTTTCCGGAATTTTATGTCCACGTGATATCGTAGATAAATTATTGTAAATGTTGTTGTTAGTGTTTAACGTCCGCTTCCACCGAAGGTGATATCGCAGACAAGTTGTCTTTTTTTTTATTTTCATTATCTTAGCGCACGCGCAGGGGTCTTTCCTGTGGGAGGAAACCGGAGTAAACCCACGAGGTTGAGAAGGCGACCCTATCTCCAAGCCACATACGCTCACACCAGGGATCGAAACCACAACCGCAAGCCAGAGGTGACCGGCCAGCTAGAGTTCGAAGCGTGACACACTAGGCCATCCCACCCCCTAATTGCCAAGTATAACTTCAATAATAATAAACATAACAGAATGACATATTTCTGACAAAGAACGAATAGTAATAATAATAACAAAAGTCAAACATATAGATGTTATACATATTTGAAATCAACAACACATACTACATATTTTGATAATACAATTATATATAAATAAATTATAAATATATACATTATTTACATAAATCATTCAGTAAATGGACATGAATATGGTTATCTACCCTTATAAAAACGCAGGCGAAACGATTGGTATGTAAACTGTTTTGTGATTGGTTCGTAGACTGTAGCCACATTCTAGGCCAGGGCAGATCATTTGAAATCGTGGAACCCTATGGATTAACCCAGGGTATAGTGGAGTAGAACGAAATGAGTACACTGGGTAACCGAGGATGTGTTTTAATTTGCAACACAACACATTTCCCTTTTGATTAAGAGACAAATCAAAAGAAACTTACCCATATTTGGACCACCAACATTTCGTCTTTCTGAAATATAAGAGAGGGTGAGAGAAAAAAAGATAATGTAACATTCTATGCTTTGATAGCTGTGGTTCCATATCAAGATTTCCCGGCGTGGTTCCCCCTTGTCAGTGATGTAGGACGGAGGGCCTGACAATGACAGTTGTCTAGTCGTTCGGGTGGGACGAGAAACTGAGGTCCCGTGTACACATTGGCGTGCACGTAAAATATCCCTTGAGAGTTGGAATTCGATATAAGAGTAGGCCGTACTACCGCTGTCCGGGCAAAATTTCCCCCTTAGCACACTGTATGGCGTATGCCCGTCTTCATTAGCCCAGTCCGGGGCAGAACAGTAGGACGTTAAACCCCATTTCATTTCATTTCCATGTCAAGACTTCTATTACTTATAATTGTCTTTATTCTTCAGGGGGGTGGATGGCCGAATGTTAGCAAGGGCGTGCTGTATCATAAGGTCTGTCATTGAGTCAGCTGACGTGGTTTCTATTCCCCGGTTGTACGTGAAAAGGAGTAGAGTTGCCTGTCCAACCTCGTGGGTTTTCTCCGGGTCTCCCGGTTTCCTCCCACTGCTAAAGACCCCTACGAGCAAGCAAATTATTGAAATACAATTGAACCATGTGTTAGTCCCGAAATGACCTAGTTTAAGTCGAGTTGACGTTAAATCTCTCTCTCTCTCCCTCTGTCTCTCTTTATTCTTCTGAGCACTTAACCTGGGGGTAGTAAGGATATAAATAATATTGGTTTGAAATTTTCGACGTCTGTATAAATGAAATCGTTTAACTTAAATCTAATGGTTTCATTAACTGTGGGTTTTATATGGAAGATATAAGGTCTAAAATATATGTTTTAGATCCAGAATTGGTGGCTTGATTAAGTGGGGCTTTAAAGGTGAAGACCCTCTAATTAGAAAAAAAAGGTACGAATTCTAGTGCTTGAAATTAAACAAGACAAACACGTGATATAAGCCGAAGCTATTATACTGACTTTTACTGTAAATTCAAATCTGTAGAAAGCAAGTAGATGTACCCCGTGTTCCAGTAATAAAACTGCAAACCAAATGTTGTTCTACACAAAAAAAAATACCATTACCATTATTTATATCTCCATTGCCCACAGATTCACATAATATAAATTGAACAAGAGTAAAACATATTTACCGAGTATGCTGCCAAGATTCACATCGTAGGCTGTGATAGTCTGAATTATAAAAAAAAAAATCATACAAAATATTTACAGATTAAATTACTCGTATAATAGTTTATAGTTGCAGGTTGTATATCTTCTGTATGTATTACTGCTTTCATTAAATCTGCAAACACTATTAGCTTGCATTGATTTAAAGTCATTTAAGATGCATTATATAACAGCTAAATGTGCCTATTGCTGGTCTTTAGTTTGGCTTCATTTAGACATTTGCAGATGCCAAGCCTATAATCAACTCGGGTGGCTGAGATTTAAATGGATTAAAACACCCTCGAGATTTGAAAAATTAACGATAAATATCGAGATGTAGTCTCGACTGTCAAGTACCGTAGCTATGATAATAAACAATCTACGCTTCATCTTCAAACAGTCATAACGGCGCTCAAAATAAAGTAATTTGACTGAAACTTTCAATATATTCATTTATCATTATCTTTTTTGGAACTATTATATCTCTTTATCTAAATCCTACACAATACATCTCTAATAAAACAGGGCGGTTGGATGGCTGAATGGTTAGCGTGCGCGCGCTGTATCATAAAGTCTGTCATTGAGTCCCCGGTTGTACGTGACAAGGATTTGGGTCGCCTGTCCAACCTCGTGGGTTTTCTCCGGGTCCTCCGGTTTCCTCCCACTGCTAAAGACCCCTACGAGCAAGCAAATTATTGAAATACAATTGAACCATGTGTTAGTCCCGAAATGACCTAGTTTAAGTCGAGTTGAAATAAAATTAAAAACCATATGTTAGTCCCGAAATGACCTAGTTGTGTCGAGTGGACATTAAACCTCATTTCTTTCTGTCCATTTGAAATAAAATATAATAAAATGGCCCGGGTTTAACGTCCTAATGTTCTGCTCCGACTGGGCTACGCCATACAGTGTGCTAGGAGGGAAATTTTACCCGGACAGCGGCACTAATGCCTACTATTACATCGTATTCAAACTGACAAAGTATCTTTCACGTGCATGCCAATGTGTACACGGGACCTCGGTTTTTCGTTCCATCTGAACGACTATAATTTGACCTTGCCCTGCACAACTGACAAGGAACACCACGCCGGAAATTCTCGATAAACTTTCTTGGCCAATGCAGGGATCGAACCCCTAGTTAGCGAGCCAACGTCTCACCCGCTGAGCCATCATCGATTTGAAGGCAATATCTTAGACAGACCTTAGTATAAAAATAGTAAAAGCTGTATTTGGCAAAACTTACCCCGACACAGAGGAGTGCTACAGCTACCTTGAGTAACATTGTGTATTTATGATATCCCTCTTTGAAATGATACTGCATTAATTTCTCGTCTCATTTATATAATGCTCTTTTCCGATAATTGTACCGACTCTTAAATTCGCATTAAAAAGTGTGGGAATTCATTATATGATTAGTTTGAAATTAATATAGCAATTATAGTGCAAAAAACTTTTATTATATTATTGCTATCAAAAGTTTTTCGTAATGTCAAAGATTGCTGTGTAATCAAGCGAAAATTCTATAACAATGACTGTTCAAACTAGTAAACACATTAGCAAGCCCTTTATTAATTATTCAGAATTCATAATGTTTAAAATTATTGGCAATTTAAAGAAGTGTATGATTCAGTTGATCCGGAATTAGTAGGTTCCGTTGGTCTGTGACGTAATCTAAATGCGTAAATATCATTGCTTATTAACTATTTGTAGACCTACGTGGGTACTGGCGGGGGAGAGGGCGAAGATTCACGCACATCAAGCTGGACAGTATAGGGGTTAGTGGCGAATGAAGAATGGCACATCTGGGATAGTGGAGCTTTGAGGGATATTAAAATGCCAGCGTTTCCGCCTACTCTTAGTCGAATTCCAACAGTCAAAGATTCGTTCAACATATTCACGTCACCCCTGCTTTTTTGTGCTATCCAAACAACTAAACGCTCAAGTCGGCAAAGAAAAATGATGTGTGATCTACCCATGGATGTGACAAAGGCTTAATTTATATGTTTAAATTAGATTAGTAAGACATCAAACCCCTTTTCATTTTCATATTGAATTGGATGCTCAATCTACACATTATCTTTTAGAGGCATTAAGTAACTGGATAGAGCAATAAATTATAACAATTACTGATTTATTTAGGCGACGTTTCGAAGAGTATTCTTTCAACTTTTCCAATCAAGTACTTGCTTGAAAACGTCGAGAGAATACTCTTCGAAACAAATCAGTAATTGTTCTTCCATAAGTATGTGTTATAGTTCATCAATCTACACATCTGTTAGCACATGGCTGAGATATGATAGTCCAACATCGACCGTTTTAGTGGTTTTCATGTTTAAAAAACGTCCAGCTTTTCTATACCGAAGCGGAGTCTATGGCTTCTTAAACATACATTATGCCAGAGCTAAATCTGCCTATTTACAGGTCTTTCTCTACCCTAAAATGTTATCTAAATTATTAATTAGGCATTAATCAACTTATCCAGACCATGATCAACTCTCGATTTTATAGCTAGCCTGCGATATTTAGCGGACTGGAATATATTTAAAAAAAAATAATCAAACGTTTAAATGGATCGTACCAACTTCAGTAATGACGATCGAGTCTAGCCTAAAATTCAATAGCTAATTTCTAGGTTCAGAGTGAAGCAATTTGACTGAAATTTTCATCATATTCTATTTATGTTATCTATTTTTTTTAATATTGTAGCGAGAACTGTCAACTCTTTATCTAATCTCCCATTTTCCCCCTTGATAGGTCCCTTTAACAGGTTGGCGGGGTTAATGGTCTATTTAGTTCACATAGCTAACATTTCTATGTATATTAATTGATGCTTTGCATAACAAACTATTACATGACGCACTGGAACTATTAGATGACGAACTACTACTATATGGCCATCGTCGTAGCGATCTAAATATATCATAATATCAGCCCGACCTGAAACCAATTGTTCTTTTACGTTCATATATTTCATTTAGTTTCAATTGATGTGGATTAATATAATTGATTAGTTATATGACCACACAAGACAAAGTCAATTCAACAATTTAAATGACTGATGTATTTTTTTCCTTTTGTTAATTCGTTGGTAATTAAAGATACATTATGGGAGATAAGATAAAGAGATGGCAGTTAGGGTTAATAGTTAAAAACTAGATAGTGTAAAGGTAATTTGCTGAAAATTTCAGTCAAATTGATCCACTATGAGCCGAGAAAGAAGCGGGTGAAATTTTTGCATAGTCTCGGTCATCATTACTAAAATCATTAATATAAACAGCATAGTCTCGATTATCCACTGTTTTTTTATTTAATTATCACTGGCCGTTAGCGGCATATAGGAATCTAATCCAGCTAACATCGAAGGCTAGCCTTGACATCGAGAGTTTATTATGGTCTGGATAAGTTAATTAATGTCTAATTGATAATTTAGATAACATTTCAGGCCTAAAGAAAGACTTGTAATAAGCAGATTTGGCTCTTGCATAATGCATGTTTAAGTATTGGCCATTCCTATTGGCACCGGTTGTATAGGCAACTTTGAAGATAACGCACTATGCAAAACTTTGTTGGTTGAAGTAAAAAGGGAAAAAGCCGGACTCTAAAATGATGACGGATGCCATGAAATGTCGCAGTATTCAGAAGTAGAATGCAACAGATTCTACTTTAACTCTCCTATCACAACCTTGATCTTATATCGAATTACAACTGCAAAGGGGTTTTTACGTACAATCCAATGCATACACGTGATCTCTGTTTTTCGTCCCAGCTGTCCTTGTCAAGCCCTCTGTCCTGCAGCACTGACAAGGACAAACCACACCGGAAAATCCCGATGAACTTTCTGGGCCAACACCGGGAGCGAAGCCACCATCTCCAGGCTAACGAGCCAGCGTATTAATCATTTAGCCACCGTGGCTGCCGAAAAACAGAAAGTGAAAGTAAAACTAAATCAACGGACTGGATACCAAGTCAAACGAAGTGACCGATGATCATAATGATGGTGTATATACTTATTTTCATCATACAATCTTCGCAGTTTCAAATGGATGCCCACGATTCTTTTAAAGCACGGATTTAAGATTTTCTAAGCACAGATTCTTCATCCTGGGGCACGTATGTTTCTGTAGGCCCTTCCGCGGTGACTCAGTGTGTAAGACGGTGACTCGCTAACCAGGAGGTCTCGGGTTAACTCTATAGGTGTTGGCCGAGAAAGTTCCTCAGGAGAATCCGACGCGATGGCCCCTTGTCAGTGGTGCAGCGCGGAGTGCCTGTCAGTGAAAGTGTCTAGTAGTTGGGAGGCGAGGTCCAATGTACAAATTGGCATACTTGTAAAAGAACCCTTGACAGTTGAAATTAGAAATAAGTGTAGGCCGGAGCGGTTCCGGAAAATAAGTGTAGGCCGTAGCTGTTCCGGGAAAATTTCCGTCAGTAGGCCACACTGTATGGCGTAAGTCCGTTATCATTTATTCCGTGGGCGCAGAAATTTGGATTATAATTACGCTATAATTTAGCCACATATAAACAGCTGTGATTTGTATTTTAGATGGACAAAGGGCAGAATACATCTCCGCATTTAGTCCTGATGCGTCATAGTACTATAGGAAATGAAATGTGGTTTAACGTCCTACTGTTCTGCTCCGAACTGGGCTAATGAAGATGGGCATACGCCATACAGGGTGCTATGAGGGAAATTTTTGCCCGGACAGCGACACTACGGCCTACTCGTATATCGAATTAAACTGTCAAGGGATCTTTTACGTGCACACCAATGTGTACACGACACGGACCTCGGGTCTTCGTCTCAGCTATCCTTGTCAGGCCCTCCGTCCTGCATCACTGACAAGGGGGAACTACACGCCGGAAAATCTAGATGAACTTTTTCGGCGAATGCAGGGATCGAACACCCGACCTCCAGGCTAGCGAGCCAGCTTCTTACCCACTTAGCCACCGTGACCCCTTTGCACTATAGAATGACTTGCAAACTACAATATTGTGAAAGATGAATCTCTAATAGGAATATCCAAAAATGGTTAAAAGATATGTGGAATTCAAATTTCATCGATCTATGTTGCTAGCCTTTTTAAAGGGCCAAACCCGATAATATTTTGGAGAATAAAACTACTTAATTTTGTGTTAAAATCCCTTAAAATCCTCTACCTAAGGGCCGAGCAACTAACTCAATATTGTGATACGTTTTCAAACAACGTAAACCAGTCGGTCTTCATCTGGAAATGGAGACCGGTGTCCAAAGCTGTATTATGCGATGTTTGGATAAAACATTTTATAACAATAATGTGTAGATGAAATTTACCTTTCGTTATTAAGTACAGCACATGGGTTAGTTACTGTATATACCTCTAAACAAACGGGAATCGATTATCCGATCACCCAACGAAAAAATTGATCCGAAATCTGAAAAGGGTTACGTGTCCGGATAAGCATTTTTGACGTTCACGTCCAAACGACTCAATAATTGATCCGAAATCTGAAAAGGGTTACGTGTCCGGATAAGCATTTTTGACGTTCACGTCCAAACGACTCAATATTTTGAGCTGAAATTTTGAGACAAGGTAAATACAACATTCCTCTATATTTTGGCGCTCAAATTCCATACGCACTCGGACTTTTATTTTTGAGACTCTGTTCAAAACGGGATAGTCCCTTTAAAAACCGTTTAACCCAAGCCGGAACATTATCTGCCATTTGGTATTTTGACTTTATTTTCTTAATTAAATGTTTGATAATCAATGTTAAGGACATTTAGTCGAGAGCAATATTGTAACACTATTGGTGATAACAGGGATCAGTTTCGTACATATAGGATTTATTTACATTGGGAACATTTACATTTACATCAAACAACAGAATAAATACAACAAAAACATGCATATATCAGGACCCTAACCCAAACATGAACACGGTATATTACAAGTTTAAGATAACCACTCCCCCCCTTCTGCCACAGCAGCGACTGAACTAGGACGAGTCCATACGCCCGTATCTAACTAAGTCTCGTTGTTGTTCTTCTTAGTGTTTAACGCCCGCTTCCACCGAAGGTGATATCGCAGACAAGTTGTCTTTAATTTCATTTTAATGATCTTAGGGCACGCGCATGGGTCTTTGCTTTGGGAGGAAACCGGAGTACCCGGAGTAAACCCACGAGGTTGAGAAGGCGCCCCTTTCTCCAAGCCACATACGATCACACCATGGATCGAAACCACAACCGCAAGCCAGAGGTGACCGGCCAACTAGCGGTCGAAGCGTGACACTCTAGACCACTAGGCCATCCCAACCCCCCTAACTAAGTCTCTCGTCTCAGGGTCTTATATACCTT